AGATGGGAGGGCGGGTCGCGAGGATGACGGACTGTGCCGCGGGCAGGCATGAGGCGGCGTGAGCGGGACTGCTCGCCACGAGAGAGGGAGACCGGGGAGAGGAGGGAAAGGCGAGCGCACCTTTGCGACCTCGACATCGCTTGACAGGAGGCGCCACTGGATGTAGGCCCTGTCGCGCAAGTCTGCCGAGTCTGCCGTCTTGGTTGCGAGCGCGAGCACCCGCTGGACGAGCTGCTGGGCCTCTTCCGGCCGGTGCAGGAACAGCTTGACGACGGCCGTCAAGGTCTGGAGCTGCACCTGGACGGGCTCGTCGGCGTACGTGTCGAGGAACGACCCGATGAGCTCCGAGGCATTGCTGATCTTGTCGGCGTACTCGCCGAGGATCCAGATGAGCGACGCCTTGGCTTCGGGCTCGTCGAGCTCGTCGAGCGAGGCGCAAAGCGTGGGGATGATGCCCTCGTAGCGATGTGGGTACCGGCGGAAGATGTCCTGCGCGGCGGGAAGCGGCGGGTCAGCTTGCGCGAGCGTGGTCGGGCGAAACGAGAGACAGCTCACCTTGATGACGACGATCGACTCCTGCACGACGTAGCTGACGCGCGTCGCGATCAGGTCGAGCAGCACGTTGACGCAGCGCTCTGCCGCCTCCTCGATCTTGACCGCGCACTGCCCAATCGCCCGGATCGACTTGCGCACAAAGTCGACGTCGACCTCCGACGCGTACCTGCGCAGGCGGGGGCGTCATGTGAGGTCCCGTCGCGATGTCAACGAATGGCAAAAAGGAAAGCGAGCACGCACTCCTTGAGCTCGCTGAGGAAAGTGTCGACGTTCTTCTCGGAGACGAGCTTGATCATGATCTCGAGCTTCTCGACCTTGACGTATGGCGGGTCGTTGTACTTGCAGAAGAAGACGCGCATCTCGTTCGAGAGGGCCCCGGGCCGCTTCTGCAGGATCAGGTTGATGTTGCGCAGCGCGACCCACTGCACCTCGGGTGCCGACGACACGAGCGTGACTGTGCGGCAAGTTACGCGCGTCAGGATCTGCCGAGCGCGGGTCAGGAGGCATGGCGCGCAGAGGGGACGCACCGAGTGGCGGGGCCATCTTGCGCAGGATGGTCTGGACCAGCTCCTCGCGCCGAATGCCGTTCATGTGGATCATGATGACCTGAGCCAGGCCGACGCGTCAATAGGAGTTCCGGGAAGGCCAGTAAGCGAGAGCGCACCTTGATGGCGGCCAGCACGACGCTCCCGTTGGCGTGCTGGAACTGCGGGATGACGCGCTCGCAGATGTGCTCCGACTCCTTCTCGTCCTCTGCCTCGTACTTTGCCACGGCGCCCAGAATCGCTATTCGGCCCCACTCGGTGCACTCGCCGAGGGCAATGAGCAGGCGCGAAATGACCTGCGAGTCGAGCACAAAGATGGGCTCGTCCTCGGCTGCCTCTTGGATCTCGGTCAGGGCGACGACGGCGTTGGCGACGACCTGCGCCCGAAAAGTCGAGTGTGAGCAGTAGTCCACGGTGACAGGAGCGTGGTGAAGAAAGGCGCACCATGGGGTTGCTGTCGGTCACCATCTCCTGGAGCATCTCGATGAAGCCGTTGTCGATAGCGAGGCTAGGCTTCATGTCGTACAGCTTCATGACGCCGAGTGCAGCCGTCTTGCGCACGTAAGGGTTCTCGTCCCGCAAGCACTTGCGCAGCGGGTCGGCGATGTAGTCGAGGATCTTCTCGGCGCGCAGGCAGCCCATGGTGCGGATCGAGAGGGCGCGGATGAGAGGGTTGGGGTCCTCGGTGTCCTGTGCGCACGTCCTTAAGGGTCAGTCTACGTGCGTGAGCGGGTCGAGGGGGCAGCGAGACTCGCCTTGACAAAGGTGTTGACGGCAAGGATGACGAGGTCGGGTTGCTGGACGAGAGGGGAGAGGGTCAGGTGCGCGGACTCGACGAGCAGCGGGAGCGCGCAATGCTCACGGTTTTGGCGAAGTTCATGAGGTACCTGGTGAGGTGCACGAGCTTTAGCCTTGCGCCTCACGGGACGAGAGTGCTCGCTCCGCTGCGACGAGGGACGACGAGTGGGGGGGAGGAGCGCACAGGTAGACAAGCTTCTTCTGTTCGAGGTCGTCGGTCTGCATATTCTTGAGCACGTCGGGGAACAGGCCTGCATGCCGGCAGAGGCACGGCGTCAGCCTGTGGGAAAGAACGAGGGGTGGGGCAGGGGACGGAGGGAGAGACGAACCCGAGACGTCCTTGCCTACCGTCATCGAGGCGATGACGCGCTTGATGGCCTCTTTGCGCTGATCACGGTACTGGCTGTTGAGGTCTGCGCGCAACTCGCTGCACGCGGGGCACGACAGCCGGTGTGAGCGGACGGACACGCGTGAGGTGAGGAGGGAGGAGGGACAAGGGGGGCAAGGGAAGCAAAGCGTACGCGTTCTCGCCGCGTGCGCGTGCGCCTCCGAAGCGTGCGCGAGTGGCCATGGTGGTGAGGCGCGTGCAGGCCTTCGTGAGCAGAGTAGGGGCGAGAGGTGGACGAGGCGTGTGGAGTTGACGACGCGCGCCGTGTGGCTTTCGCTCGAGGGGAGGCTCCGTCTCGCCCGGCCGAGCGGAATGACTTGGCCGTGGCAGCGCGCGGAGAGCAATCCGCCGCGCTCGGATTCCGCCTCGCCTCGCCCTCAACTCATCTCCGCGCAGCCCCCTCCTCCTCTCCCTCTCCAGCAGCTCAGCCAGTGAGTCGCCTCGCCTCTTCAGCTCCTACGCCACCTCAGCTGACCTCGAACGCACGACAGTGCCCCGAGCCACCTCTGAGCGTTTCAACCGCCAACACGCCTCTGCTCCCTCGGCAAAGTCCAAGCAGGACCGCCAGGAGAATGGCAAGGGCGCCCTCAACCCCATCTTCAAGTGCGCCCTTGTCCCACTCGTCCAGCCCTCGCACCACAAGCTGACCCCCGTCTCGCCCTCGCTCTCTCTCTCCCGCCGTGCTCAGCACCGCCCAGTTTGGACAACACATCCTCAAGAACCCGCTGTGCGTCATACCCGTGCCTCGCTGTGGAGCTCTCTCGCTCACTTTGGCCCCCCTGCAGCGTCGCACAAGGGTCCGCCCACCTTTCGCCTTTCACCGCCTCCCCCGCCTCTCCCTCCTTTCACTAACCCCATCGCTTCCTCCCCGCACAGCATCGTCGACAAGGCCAACCTGCGCGCGTCCGACGTCGTCCTAGAAGTCGGCCCCGGAACGGGCAACTTGACGGTCCGCATCCTCGAAAAGTGCAAGTCGTGCACGGCCGTCGAGATGGACCCGCGCATGGCCGCAGAGTTGACAAAGCGCGTCCAGGGCAAGTGCGTCGATTTGCAGGTCTTTCTACTCCATGATAGAGGTGCAGAGCTGATGCAGTGAGCCTGCAGGCCGGAGCAGCGCAAGCTCAACATCCTCGTCGGCGACTTTGTCAAGACGGACCTGCCCTACTTTGACGTGTGCATCTCCAACACGCCGTACCAGGTGCGTCCATTCTCTCACACATCGTCCTTCAAGAGCTTGCACTTACTCGAACGCGCACGACAGATCTCGTCGCCCATCGTCTTCAAGCTCCTGTCGCAGCGCCCCATCTTCCGCGTCGCCATCCTCATGTTCCAGCGCGAGTTTGCCATGCGCCTCGTCGCCCGCCCCGGCGACTCGCTGTGGAACCGCCTGTCGGTCAACGTCCAGCTGTACGCCAAGGTCGACCACATCATGAAGGTCGGGCGCAACAACTTCCGCCCGCCTCCCCAGGTCGAGTCGTCGGTCGTGCGCATCGTGCCCCTCGACCCGCCCCCGCCCGTCGCCTTTGCCGAGTTTGACGGCTTGACACGCATCGCGTTCAGTCGCAAAAACAAGGTCATCCGGGCCAACTTCCAGGCAAAGGGCGTCGAGCAGATCCTCGAGGCAAACTACAAGGCGCTGTGCGCTCAGCAGGAGAAGGTGCGTCTTGTGAGCGCTCAGTCCAGTGTGCCAGCGAAGAGTGCTGACTGGCCCGCTTTTGCACGCGCGAGCAGATGATCCCCGAGGACTTTGACATGTCGGCCCTCCTCGACCAAGTCCTCGCCGAGAGCGGCTACGCAGACCAGCGCGCGTCAAAGATGGACGTCGACGACTTTCTCAAGTGCGCATTGATTTCCCCCTGGGAGCTGACTCGCACGGAGTGACGCTGACCCGACCTGTTTGCCTGTCGCAGGCTCCTCACCGTCTTCCACAAGCACGGGCTGCACTTTGCGTGACCTGGCGGCCTCTCTCCTCTTCTTCTTTCCTCCGTTCTTGCGGGTCTGTTCAGGTGTGTCTGTCGCTGTGTCTGTTGTGCAACTACGCCGTGTCGCTCTCTCAATCCTGGTGGCAAGGGGAGAGAAGGGGCATCCGGGCTGCTCAAACCCCCGCGTGGCTGTCGCCGGGGTGGTCTTGCGTGCTTGCTCCTGTCTCTCGGCGGCGGCATGTGGCGCACGGATGACGCCTGGACCCTGCTCGTGCAGAGACTCGAGCAGGACGGGCTCGACTTTGCGGTCGTCAAGGAGGTCGAGAGTGTCGCGGCGGAGGGAGCGCGTACCCTGTGTGCGCAGGCCGCCCCGGGGCCATAGACACTGGATCATACATGTCACCGTATTGTGTTTCATTGCCCGGGACTCGAGTCACTCGAACGAGAAGCCCTGTCGCCGACGCAGCGTCCGTTCGCAAGGGCGCTTTCCCTGCGCTCTTGCTGCAGCTCGCTGACCAGATTGGACGGGTGGCTCATGCACGCCTGCTTCGTGTCACGTCGAGGACAGCGCAGAGCGGTCGACGGTCTTGGGCCTGGGCCACGAGGCGGGTTGCCTCGACGCAAGAGCGCACGGGCCTCGAGGAGGGTCAAGCTCGCGGAGCGTCTCGCAACGAGGGGACCGACGACGCCATTCTCGAGTAGCAGCACACTGGGGGACGTCAGAAGACATGGTGCGCGGTGCAAGAAATTTAGTATAGATACCGCAGGTTCTGGCCGAGTTGTCAACGAGTGGCCTATTTGGTCTAGTCGCATGATACCTCATTCGGGTTTCGGCCAGCTTGCTTGTCAAGTGTGCATTGAGGTGGTCCTCGGTTCAATTCCGGGAATGGGCCCACGTAACCTTTTGCCGCCCTCACAAGGCCCATCTGGGACGGCTTGTCCTTCGCAAGCTCGCCCGTCCCTTTCTGTTTGACGGACAGGATGGCTTGCGTGACTTTTGAACAACTGCTGCAAGCCACAATGGGGCACGGGGGTTGGGTGAGCGCGACGACAGAGTCCCCTGGTCCACGGCGAGCGACTCGTCTTCCGCATGCTCGCTCAACCCCTCCAGTGCTGTGTCCCCTTGCAGACTTCACTGGCGTACCTTTGTATCCACAGCCATTACTCTCACCGGCTGAGAACAAGTGTCGTCGACAAGGAGTCTCTCAGGCGCCGGGGCCTCTCGGTTGCATTGCCGCTGCTGGCGCAGTTTGCGCTCGCTCCGCCTCTCCTGCGACTTCTGGGTGTCTGCGCCATACTTCAGTCACCCGTAAGATGTAGCGCAAACCGCGAAGCAAGTAAGAGACAAGCTAGGAAAGAGCCGGAGCTTTCATAGCGAGCGCAAGCACTCTCTCTCCGCGGGGCCTGCCCCATGCGCTAGCTGTCCATAGCTGACAGACAGGTCGCTTCCAGGGGAGAGTGGGTTTGCAAAAGACTGAGCCAGGCACTCAGGCCCTCGTAGTAAGCCGTTGGGGGCGGCGGGGGAACCAAAAGGTCAAGTGGGCCCATTCCCGGAATTGAACCGAGGACCACCTCAATACACACTCGCTAAGCAAGCTGGTTGTTAAACCCGAATGAGGTATCATGCGACTAGACCAAATAGGCCACGTGTGGAGGTCGAGCAATCGTGCTTTGCGTACGAGTAGTTAGCCAATTACACCAGTCCTCCCGAGCCTCCCGGGGTCTTTAGTGCCTCTCCAGGAGATTGTTCATGCGTATCGCGCCAGCGCTGAATGCCGTGGGCCGCAGACTGGGCCTGGTCAAGGCAAGCTGCTTGGCCTTCTCAAGTTGACTGCAAGCCCCTTGCCACCCCTCTGTCCCTGAGCCAGAGAACTTGACAGGCATCATCTGACCGCACAGCGTCTTGAGAGATCTCTGCCGCGTACTCAGATCCCCACCCCCCGTCGCAGCGCGAGCACGCGAGGTAGCACTGACACACTCTTCCTGCTCCCTTGACCGTGTGCAGGCGTCCAACGGTGCGCCTCCCCACTTCCTCTCCCCTTCTCGTCACAGCTTTTCGCGCGTGGCGTCCCGCCCGCTTTACCCCGCGCGAGGCGGTGTGAACCACTCTAGGCTACTGTGCGCCTCCGTGAGGGTTGTCCGCAACCTGTCACGTCGTACCGGCCCGCGGGCACGTCGAGTGCACGGTCCTCGTGCGCGCGGGATGGGCAGCCTCGCGTACAGCATCGGGTGCTCGCGCCACCCTTCCGTCTGCGCGACTGACACACTCTGCGCCACACAGAACAGCAGCCGCGACCGATCTGCGAGGCGGGCAAGCCCGGGTGCGTTGTCGTCCCTGGCCTCCCGCTTTCGCCCACTCCCCCGTCGCTGGACAAGCAGCTGAACTTGTCCTGCATGCCTATCCCCCCTTCTTCACCTCACAGCAGTGCAGGATGAAGCGGTGCGTCGTTCTGACGCGCCGTCTTGCCGAGGTTGGGTCGCCTCGCGCTGGCACAAACATTCTCGCCTCGCATCTCGCCCCGGCTCCCCACCCGCAGACTCCCCTGCGTGCGTCTCTCTTCTCTTCCTCGGCTGTGATAGCAGTGTCAGCGAGCCTCCCGTGTACGCTGGTGACGAGCTGTGCGGCGTGCTCTGCGCGAATTGGTGTGTCAGCCTCGAGCTGACCTGCTCTCCCTGCTCTTCCCGCTCTCCCCGGTCTCCTCGCTCCTTTTGCAGCGCATGGCCCTCACCCTATGTAGAGGTGCGTCTTCGTCTCCCTCGCGGCTGTCCTCCCTCGAACCGAGCTGACGCGCGTGTCGCCTTGCTGCTCGCCTCCTCGATTCTCGACGTTCCACCCCGTCGCTCGTTCTCTCTGCGCGCAGACTCGACAGCTGATCACTGCACTGTGCCTCATTTCTGCTCGACTAGACGGTAGCATGCCCTCGACGGCGCCAAGGTACGCGGATTGCGCGCACGGGGAGGAGGCGAGGCGAGGGGGACTTGGGGGGCGCGAGGCGCGGCAAGGCGATGACGAGGCGGCGGTGGCGTGGCGGGAGGTTGAATAGGGGTGGCTCGAGGGGGGCCGAGTCGAGTAGTAGTCGACGAGGGGTGGAAGAGTGTGGTTCGAGCAGTGGTCGAAGAGCCCCGACTCGATGCCCTGGTCGAGCAGAGCTGGAAGCGGGCCGGTCGAAGCGACCCTGCCCGATGAGAGGTCGAAGGGGGCCTGTTCGATGCCCTGTTCGAGCACTGGTCGAAGAGGGGTTGACGAGGGGTCGACCACGGGGGGGTCGAGGTGGGGGGGCCTGTCGAACAGGCCTGGTCGACCCCTGTTCGATTGCTGGTCGAACCAAGGTGGTCGAACAGCCCTCCTTCGATTTGGCGTATCGAGGCGGCTTCGAACCAACCCTTGGTGACCAATGCTCGAACAGGGATCGAACAGCCCCCCTCGATTCCCCCCCGCTTGAGGGACAGAGGGGTGGCAAGGGGCTTGCAGTCAACTTGAGAAGGCCAAGCAGCTTGCCTTGACCAGGCCCAGTCTGCGGCCCACGGCATTCAGCGCGGAGCTCGATATGCATGGACAATCTCCTGGAGAGGCACTCAAGGCCTCGGGAGGCTCGGGAGGACTGGCATGAGTGACTGACGACTTGTACGCAAAGAAAGCCTCTTCGACCTTCACACGTGGCCTATTTGGTCTAGTCGCATGATACCTCATTCGGGTTTAACAACCAGCTCGCTTAGCGAGTGTGTATTGAAGTGGTCCTCGGTTCAATTCCGGGAATGGGCCTACTTAACCTTTTGGTGCCCGCGTCGGTTGACCACAAGGGCCTGAGCGCCTGGCACAGTCTTTTGCAAAGCCGCTCTCTCCTGGAAGTGACCTGTCTGTCAGCCTCAGATAGCTAGCGCATATGCCAGGCCCGGCGCTAGTGTGTCGCATCCAGCGAGGAGAGGTCCCGAAAGAGGGCAGTCGGCGCACCCAGAGAGCGGACGCCTGTACCGGCTACCCGCGCTCATTTGCGCAGATGTGCCGAGGCGGCATGGGCAAACGCAGACGAGATACTGGAAGCAAGAGGAAGCTGGTTTCCGTGACAAGATTCCAAAGAGAGCGAGGCCCGTGCGAGCGATGAGAGCGGCGGTGGGAGAATGCTTACGAGACAAGGCAAGCGAGAGGTACAAGGGAAGCTGCTGCGGCTAGCTCGCCAGCCTGAATTGACAAGGGTGGCCACCGGCAGCCGGCTCTGCGGTTCGTGTGAGGAGGACAAGACACTCTGCAGGCGGCCACCCGCAGCGGTCGACTCGAGTCGTTTTTCCCGGTGAGAACAAGGGCGGAGGTAAGTAACGAGCTCTAGCCACTGTTGGCATAGCTAAACAGAGAGACAGGGAAATGAGTCCAAGGAGGAGAGCCACAGGAAAGAGGTCCCAGCGCCCCAGAGAGAGAGTGCCCGGCGGGGCTCGCTCTGCCGTGTCGCGCTGCGGGAGCCGCAACCGCTCACTTGGCGCGGCGTCTTCGAGCCGAGGCACTCGCAGTGACACACGCCTCGCGAGCAGACACCGCGCCTCTGGCTCGTTTGCTCGCGCGAGGGGGCCAAGGGACAGAACCGCACGAAACTGCAACGGCTGCTGAGTTTTCACAAACTGCGTCAGGGAGTACTAACTCCTCGGGCGAGGCGGACTGACTGTCAAGCGTAGGAGGGAGGGGGTCTGTACAGAGTGGAAGAGGGGAGGGGAAGCGGGGGGTAGAGTGAGAGAGGGGGGAGAGAGGACGCGGGAGAAGCGCGGGTAGAGGCGCACACAACGTTCACGCGCGGGCACGACACACCGAGAGAGAGGGAGGAGTGTGACGCTCAGAGCTCGTTGTGGACGATCGACGAGGCGCTCTTGGACGCGACGCTGAGAGCCGACTCGAGGCTCTTGCTCGCACTGCTCGCGGCGGCCTCGGCCGAGCGGCTGATGACGCTCGCCGACGAGCTCGCGTGCTTCTTGTCGACGCCGGCGCTCGTCGCGCTCGCGTACGCCGACGACGAGATGGCCGACGCGCCCTGCTTGGCCGATGCCGACGCCGAGCTGTAGGCCGACGAGAGCGACTTGGACGCCGACGAGGCCGATGATGCGGCGCTCGTCACGTAGGCGTGGTAGGCCGACGAAGCCGACGAAGCGACAGACGAGGCTGTGGCCGGTGGCGGGAGAGAGTCAGCAAGAGGGCAACGGCAGAGGGGGCCGGACTTGGGAAGGTCCGCTCGAGGGAGAGAGGAAGACGCACCGCTCTTGTCTGCGACCGAGCCAGCTGACGACGCGCTCTTCGAGATGACACTCGGGTCGTACCCGGCCGCCTTCATTTGGGACGAGACACTCTTGCTCGCGACCGACGACGCCGAGTGCGCACTCTTGCTCGCCTGCGACACGGCGCTCGAGAGCGACGCACTGAGGACGCTGCTCGCGCTCGACGCACTGTGGCTGGCCTCGTTAGTGAAGGAAGTGTACGACGCGCCGGCCTTGTCGCTCGCCGAAGTCGCGGCCGAGAAGGCCCAGTCGCCCGCGGCGCCCGCCGACTTGCTGATCTGCGACGGCGCGACCCCCTGCTTGTGCAGCTCGCTCGAGACCGACTTGCTGGCCTGCGACGACGCCGACAAGGCGCTCTTGCTCGCCTCTGCAAAGGCCGACGACAGAGACGCGGCAGCCGAGGCCGAGTACAACGACGCGCTGCGGCTCGCGGCCACTGACGCGCTCGAGAGACTCGCCGACGCCTTGGCCGCCGCTGACGACGCGCTCGAGGCGGCGCGCTCGCCAGCCGACGACGCGCTCGCGTAGATGGCCGTCGGCGCTGCGCTCAGGCTCGAGGCACTCTTGACCGCCTCGGCCGACGCGACCGCCGACGCCGAACTCGCCGAGTGCAGCGCGAGCGAGTAGACGGTCGACG